CTCGGAACAATTCTTTCATATTCAAAACTAGACATAGTTTGAAGGTTAGCACGGACCTTACATTTTACATATCTGTATATTTTATCTCATCGGACTAAATAACTACAAAAAGAATAATACATGTTGATATTTGTTAGTGGGATGCTTGATCTCTTTTCACAATATAGTATATAATACTCCTTTTTTTCTCGTTTAATTTCAAAGTTATTATTTCATTTTTCCATCTTCGAAAAGAAGTAAGAAATGTATTTTATGATTATACATAAAATATCAATAGCTAGAGTTTATTTCTAGTATCAAGAACCAATTTATTCGTATTGAAGAATACAATTCAAATGCAACAAGCATATGTTATTTTATTGTTATTCTACATTATCTATTTTGTCAATGGTCACGGTTATAGCTCTAACGGTCGACGTTGTGCTTCATTAAAAAGCAAAACTTATCAATTATCAATCACATTACCCGATTTAGACCCATTTTATGCTACATTAAATTTTCAAGATAATTATAAAGTTACCGACTATTATAATATAGGACATGGTGGTAGTTTAGCTGAACTTGGAGTTGATTTGACATTTGATACTCATGTAGGATACTATGCTTGTCATGGTCGAGATTATGTTCATGCAACTACTGCTGGTTGGGTATATAAAACTGCTGGTGTACCATCATTAGAAGACAATGGTGCTACTGCTGTTCTTAATTATAAATTATATTTTTCTAGAGATTACGAAACATGTACTGGCACATTGGATTATTCATTTTATAAAACTGGATCAGATCCATTTGCAAGAAAGAATAAACCAACTTCAATTGCACCTGAGGGTGATATTACTTGTAAATTATTGAAATATCGATTTTCAGATCATTAATCACACATTGGGGGAAAATTATCCTAGTATGAACAATATCTAATTATTCTAACATTCATAATTCTTTTTTGTTCGATTGTAAAGCATTACCATAATTCATGAATAAATAAAATATAATATTCAAATCGAAAGAACAATTGTATGAATATCCATATCAACACTACGATACCATTGATCTCGAAATTATTCTTTTAAGAAGTTCGATCTAAAAGGAGTATCGAAGCGTATAGGAATAGAGATTTACACTCGACCTGCCACCACACACGTGACGATTGAATTCATATTGTTTAAGATAAATACATCAATAATTGCTTTTATATTAAGCGATTTTTCTCTTGAAATTTATAATAACTATTAAAATGCTAATCCGATGACTCTATACTATATAAATTATTTCTTTCCAATACTTCTATATAATTAACTTTGTGATATAATTTACTGATTTAAAAAATTTGAACAAATCTCAAGATATTTTCAGAAAAAAATAAATGAAGAAAAAATTCCAGTAAAGCTTCAAAGAAATAATACTTTATGGTTATGGAAAAGATATATTTGTTTAAATCATAAACAGAAATAAAATAACGTTTTGAATGTTGAAAAGTATGTATTGAATCCTGTAGAGTTAATAATATAGATAAATTTTTTTGTATTGTTTTTATTCTCTAAAACATTATCAGTATAAAACTTATATAAGAGTATTTCGAATTATTTATGCATATACAATGTACAAATTTTGAGATGAATGTTAAGTATTTAAAAGTATCCTTGAATCGTAACATATTTTTATTATCTTAGTTTTCATATGATGGCTTTATTCTTTTTCTATGTAAATAATTGATTGTAGTTGTATGAAATAGATAATTGTCATAATATTTGAATTATTTTCTTTTCTTTTTGTAGTTTTTAAAATAAGAAAACTTAAAATATTTTATGAAAAAAAATACTCTCTTATCAATTTCGTCCATAAATATTACTTTAAAGTTAGTTTCTTCATGACAATATTAATTGAAAAATATTCTTTAATAAAATTCTTTATTTTATTCGTCTAAAAAAATTAAAAAACATAAACTTTGTTTAAAGTATAATTAGTCATTAAAAGTTATTTTTTAGTATAACAAATAATTTTACTCAGTGTCAATATCAAATTTTTGTACTCGATGATTATCACAATCGATAACATAGAGATTACCTTGTCGATCAAATGCTAAACCATGTGGATAAGCAAATTGATTTGGTTGTTTACCTTCTCCATTTCCACCAACAACTATGTTACCTTTTGCTGCATTTGGTAACCAAACAACTATTCGATGATTCCATGAATCAGCAATATAAACATTA